CTTTTTCCATTGCAAAGGGGTTTCCCCCTCAAAATTCAGGCAGTAGAAAGGAAAAGGATTTGAAAAGGGAGCAATGCTAGGTTCAGAGAGAAATGTGTGCACCTGCTTCTTCTTTCATTAGCTGGAGAAAGGACTTCATCTTTATTTCCAAGTGATTTCCTTTCCCCACTGGATGTTGGAGTACAGCTCTCTTCCTGGAGCAATGGATGCCCCTCATTCAGCTGCTTCCTCCCAGCACTGCCTTGCAACTCTCAACCATCATTAGAAACCCCCAGGGAGCCACCAAGCTCAGAGAAGGAAAGGGAAGGGTCCCCCCACCAGTCAAACAGACCTGAGGGTGGGAGGGGTAGGGTGGAAAAAATGAAAAAATGCAAAAGCTCTGCAGAGGGAGGGGAGAGAGAAATGTGATCAGTGATATTTGTTGTGCTTCCAGGGAGGAAGGATCCTTCACATTTTTAATAATAATAAATACATAAAGACAGATTTGCCAGCATTGCTCTGGCTCCTTGGAAAGTGTGGGGGAGGGGAGCCAATGCAGCTGCAGCACAGACCAGTATCTCCTCCTCCCCTCCCCCATCAGATAGGCTCAGTATTGCAGCAGCCTCCCCCTCCCCCTTTAACTGCAGTCCTCCCCACCACAGCCCACCCTTTCCAGGGTCCCTTCACACAGCTCTGCCTCTCCCTCCTCCACTTCTCTCCATCTCTCTACTCCCCCAACCTTAGCCTCTATTCTTTTAGCACTGGTCCTCATTTAACAGTCTTACTCTAGCTCTCAGAAGCCCTTCTACCCACATGGCACTCCCCCCATCCTGAGGCCCTGCTCTTTCCTACCATGCCCTTCACAGCTGACAGCAATCTCCCCCCTCCAACACCCTCACAAGTAATCCAGTACATTTCAGCATTCTGGATTCCAACAAAAAGGATTGCTTTTCCCTCATTTTCATTGCAATGTGACCTCCTTTCCCACAACCTTAAATATAATGGCCATCAAATGTGCTTGTGTTCAGGGGGTGTCAGGGCCTCGGGACTAGGTGACTACTGCCACCTATTGACCCAAATTTGTTCAAGATAGACCTTTAATACACTTCTTACACAGCGACGCTCTGTTATTTCAAAAGCATCAATAGCTTAAACATGCAAAGGCATGGCTCTTGGGGTTTCTCTGAGACCCTCTGAACAATGAGATCAAAGAAATACAAAAGCAAGACTGGGCAGAGAGCCAGCGCAATGATGCCTTTCTCCATGCAGAGGCAGAAAAAGAGGCTGAGCCCAAGGAATGAAAAAGCAACTCTAAGTCTTCTAAAGGGTCTATAAGCAAAAAAGAACAGGAGACAGTTTTTCTCAAGGACTGTTAAAAAACCTTGTGCATCATTATATGAATGATATTATCAATAGAGCAGAAGGCAGGATTCCATTCATATGCCTCTGTTAAGTTGACCAAATCCTTGGATAAGTCTAAACATGAATCTGAAGTTTACACACCTAACAGATCCCAGGGAGGATGCGGACACTCAGGACTGCTGCTGACTCTCACTCAATCTGTACCAATCAGAACCGGAGACTGGGCAGATAAACTGAGCTCTGCAAAAGGGCAGGTCTACACACCCAGCTCTAGGGATTGCACATTCCACCAACCCATAACAAGGAATGAGTTTAAACTCTCCATGGTGCTGAAAACGGACTTAATCACGTCACCCTGTCCTTACAGACAAAAAGTATTTTTCTAGTAAGGTATCCATGAAGACTACATGAACTCCTGACAGACATTTCTCCAAGCCTTCATAAAGCCATAACAAAAGCTTCAGAGGCAAAAATAGGTCTTGGTCAAACCCTCTTCCCCACCCCCTCAAGATGTAAATACTAAAGCAGAGGTGTTAAATTACTTGTCCAGAACAAAGCCAACACTCTTTACCATCACATGATAAAACCGAACAGTGCTCATGTGCATTAATGATGGACATTACTTAGTAAGCATTAGAAATGAATCATCTGTTGTTAGTACTGAGGGAACCTGACAGTCATGTGGTCTGAATGATCAGAGAACTGAATTTATGAGTAGGAATGAGAAGAAAAACAATGGCCATAAAGAAAACCTCAAATCCTAAGTCTTGGTTTCCTTGCTCTACTACAGTGGTTTTCAAACTACATTCTATGGAGTTCTAAAGAAACATGGGAGCTCCTCAGAAATCTTGGGAAAAGAGGGACTTTTGTCTGTTCAGTTCACTGCTATACCACCAAGAGGCCAGAACAATGTTTGGAACTTGTGGTTTCCTTGAAAGTAAAGCCTGGAATGGCAATGAGCAGCAGGGAGGGGGGGGGGGGGGGAGGTTGAGGTTATAAACTACCTACCAATATTTTTTTTTAAAGGAAAAAAACAAAAATTCTGAAGACTTTCATAAATCATAGGACACTTGAAGTCCTCCATCCTCCATGTTCCTCAGCACTGTTTCTCTAATTCATTAGCCCGGTAACCTTGGGCAAATAACCTAAGTGTCTCAGTTTCCTCACTAGTAATATAAAGATGACATATTTTGTAAGCATTAGTGTAAAGCACTTAGCTCAGGATATAACACAAAGAAAGATCTTTTTTTTAAAAAAGCAAAAAACACTTCCTTTCCCTTGGCAGTTCCCATAATCCAAAATTTTAATAAATCAGAAGCAAATGCAATAGTCCTGAAGCATATTTTAACTGAACCTCTTGTCGAGTTGGAAAAAGAATCTCTAAATCTGTTCTTGTGCCTCTTTGCTTAGATTCACTCAAAGAAATAGAAGTATGAGGGCCCTGGGTGTGTCAGGTTCTCTCAGATCTACCAGGAACTAAAAGCTAGAGTCCCCAAAAGTAAGAGCATCTTGGTGTCATCCATGAGAAACAGCTCTAGGCTCTTTGGTTTGGAGGGAATCTCAGAGATTATCTAACACATTCATTTTTCAGCTGAGGAAAATTAAAGACCAGAGATGTTAAATGATTCACCCAAGATCAAAGTTAACAGAAAACATTACTAGGCTGTCTCCTAACTACTTTCTACCAGGGTGCTGCTGACTGAAAACAGGCCCCCGCCCCAATCAGACCAGTAGAGATCCCAATTCATAGGAACCAATGACCCAAATTATATCCCTCTTCATGACACTGCCCAGGAATGGCAGACTTGAAAATTGGATGTTCATGAGACCCCATGCTCTTAAACTACAATGAAGTAACTCTACAGACTCCTCAACTTCTCTCTTTCCATTCCTCTTTTCACTTTATCATCCAAGGCCTGAGATATCTCTTACTAACAGGTCATTCTCTGAAAAGAATAGATCTCAGATATGTAACTCCCACCTGAACTGGGCAGGTATTTCTGTGAGATTTTCATTTCTTTGGTCTTTAAGCGAGGAACTTTCTTTCTGCCTGCTTGCTGCCATTCTTTTGCAAGCTCTTTGTAAAAGGACTGGCCTTTACTGACTAGTAAACTGAGGCCTTAGTTCAGTGATGGCGAACCTATGACACGCGTGTCAGAGGTGATACGCGAACTCATTTTTCTGGTTGATTTTTCTTTGTTAAATGGCATTTAAATATATAAAATAAATATCAAAAATATAAGTCTTTGTTTTACTACGGTTGCAAATATCAAAAAATTTCTATATGTGACACAGCACCAGAGTTAAGTTAGGGTTTTTCAAAATGCTGACACCCCGAGCTCAAAAGGTTCGCCATCACTGCCTTAGTTGAAGGAGGGTCAAAGAGGCTGAAAAACACAAGACTATACAGATTCTTCATACTCTAGTCTTCTCATTCACTGTTCTCTCCAGATAATCTCAATAACTGAGCTAAGATCAGCCCTGTGTTCATGCTATTTTAGAAAGAAAAGAAAAACTCCAGAGAAATGGAGACAAGATTAACTCACTGATGAGAAAGTTCTATCTTGCTTTTGATTAGTCAAGCATCAAAAGGTTTTCTGAACCACTAATGCCACCTGGTGGCCAGCAAAATACATTAAAAAAAACCTTAAAATTCATGTATTATAGGAACTTGGGAAAACATGAGTTGAAAAGTTGACTATAATACTCTAATCTCTCAACTCTTAAAAATTTTTGTTTTGCCCTAACCAGTTTGGCTCAGTGGATAAAGCGTCGGCCTGCAGACTGAAGGGTCCCAGGTTCGATTCCGGTCAAGGGCATGTACCTTGGTTGCGGGCACATACCCAGTAGGGAGTGTTGCAGGAGGCAGCTGATCGATGTTTCTCTCTCATCGATGTTTCTAACTCTCTATCTCTCTCCCTTCCTCTCTGTAAAAAATCAATAAAATATATTTAAAAATATATTTTTGTTTAATCCTCACTGGAGGATATTTTTTCCACTGCCTTTAAAAAAGAATTAATCCTCACCTGAAGATATTTTTCTACTGATCTTTTAGAGAGAATGGAAGAGAGAGGGAAAGAAACATCGATGTGAGAGAAACAAATCAAACAAATCGATTGGTTGCCTCCTGCACACCCCCGACCAGGGCCCCAGCTTGGGAGGAGCCTGTAACCAAGGTACATGCCCTAGACCAGAACTGATCCCGGGACCCTTTGGTCTGCCGGCTGATACTCTATCCACTGAGCCAAACCAGCTAGGGCTCCATTGCTTTTTAAAAAGAGTGGAAGAGAGGGAGGGAGGTTGGGGGAAGAGAATGAGAGAGAGAAAAAAATATTATGTAGGAGAGAGATATCAATTGGTTGCCTCCTATACAAGCCCTGACGGGCCAAGGATCGAACCTGCAACCCAGGTACTTGACTGGGAATCAAACCCACGACTCCATGGTGCACGGGCCAACATTCTAAGCACTGAGCAACATTGGCCAGAGCTCATTTATTTATTTATTTTGTTAAATAACCAATTTCTAGTTTCTATTAAAAAACACCTATATAGAGCCAAACTTCTCCCACTCCCCTCAAAACCTCATCTTTCCCTTTTATTGCCCTCTCACCTAAAATACCCCATACCCAGCAAATGAGTCATACATGTGCAATAGGGGCTTCAATTCGTAAGTAAAATCAGTTTTATTAACAGATTTCCACATGTCCAGAGCAAACAATAAATTCCGAGGAAAAGGACCTACATACAGTGAAACTGGAAGTATCTCAGGATGACAAAAAATATATATAAATATGTACACCCACAATCACCGCCGCCTCCGAAAACCTGAAAGGAAGGGAAATCAAGAATGAGGCAAAGGACAGTTGGAAAAGCTGGAGGAACAGAACAAAAAGACATCTAAAGAGAAGGCCACTAGGCACTACTCTATATCCTCCCAGGACAAAAGACTAGAAGTAGGAAGAAATTGAAGTGGGATAATGGTTTCTTCAAGTGACACTTTAGTAGTTTTATTTAAGGATGCCTGAAAAGGTGTGGGAGCTTAGAGGAACAATCCAGAAATCTCTTCTGTGAATTATGCTGATTTTCAGCTTGGGAAAGAAGAAAAATAACATCCCACCTCTAAAGAGATTAATGCCCAGCACGGAAGAGATATTATAGGGCTTAGTAAGACCTAGGATGGCAAATTCAAAGCTGGCATCCCAATTCATACTCTCCACCCTGCACTTGATCACCTAACTCCTAGCCATTTACTGACCTTTTTTCTTCCGACCTTTCTTGGGTATCTTCTTCCGCTTCTTAATAGGATTCTGATCCTGGAGACAGATGGAGAAGTAAAGGAGTGGCAGTGTAAGTGTTGGTATCTCTTCCCCAGTTTCCCATAGCAACGAGCCCCACATGCATTTGGCTGAAAGCATGAAGACCACCTCCCACCCCTGTATCACAACCTCACCTCATCAAGATGAGGGGTTTCTCCTGTCAAAGCACTGATGTCACTGAAGTGCGTGAGAGAATGAAGTTGTGAGCTCATGACATTTGCGCGTTTTCGTCGTCCTTTCTCTCGCTTACTGACACTTAAACGCACCATCATGCTCTCCTCATAGTTAATCCTGTCAGAGAAACACAGACACTGTGTCTAACATGCTCAGTCCATAACACACAAGCTGCAGCCCAGAACCTGGGCCCAGACATTTTACTCACCCCTGATTATGACAGTTCTCAACAGATTTCACAGCAGGGCAATATAGTATATAGTAAGGACATACCAAATGCTCAACACTGAACTTCCTCAAAGAAACGTTCTTTGTGCTAGAATTTCCCTCCTCCCTACTGATGACCTCAAAGTCCAACCACTGGAATATTTAAATTATTATTATATCAGAGAACTCTTATATTTCAGATCTATAGACAGGATTAGCTACATGGGCCCCTTCACTCCAACCTATCACCTGGGCAAGGTCAAGGAGTCGGTATTTAAGTTACAATCACTTCTCTACTTCTCTTCCCTGAATTTATCTAGCACTCTTGATGCCATTACAAAAACCTGCTTTAAAGTGTTCTCCTTCATATAGCATTTGTTCAGTTGGGGGAGGAGGGGATATCTTCTTCCTAGTTCTTAGTCTGTACTTCAAACCCCTAATTCTTAGAAACTGTCCTCCCAAGTTTCCCACTCCATTCTCTATATAATGTGGGTTTGTTTGGCACTAGACTTAACCATATTCATCCAAAGCACAAGGACAGGTCTCTACAGCGCAGAAAATAATGTCTAATTACAAGGACTCAGACCTGTGTTGATCCTCCTGACTCTGGCGAGTAACATGAGGATGCCGGGCATCACGGATTTCCTCTGGAGCATCTGAGTACTGCTCCTTAAGTTCACGAATAACAGAGCTGCTCAATGCTCGTCTCTTGGCTCGTTCTAGACGCTTCTTTTCCCGCTCAGCCTCTGTTTCATCTATGTGATAAAAATTAGCAAAGGTTATCCCAGAACAGAGAAAAGAAGAAGAGAAACACAATTCACACCGAGGAGGTGGTAGCCACGGTTCATACCATAATGTACTGGCACCAAGCGCGGTGGAACATATTTCTTAACTGCTCCATTTGCAGATTTCTTCCCTGCAGCCCCAGACTGTCCTTCCTCTGCTTCATCTTCCTCATCCTCAGAGCTCAACTATAAAAAGAATATAATGTCCATAAACTTAGGAAGTGTTAGACAGATGATAAGAAAAACCAAAGCTGGCATACCCTGGGGAGGTGGGAAAATAAAAGGCAGAAGGGGGAATCTCATACTCAGCACTCTAAGGCACAAGCTGGGAATCAAGAGTAATAAGAGAATCCCAGGAGATCCAGGATCACCACGAGACTCATTCAGGAAAATCAGGACAACGCACCCCCTTACCTTGCTCATCATATTGCTGGGATGAGGCTTAAAACGGAGTGGGTCATTCTCACCTGAAACAAAAAACCCCCAAGAGATTTTGTAAGATTTTGGACTTTATGATGGAATCCACATAACCTTACAGCTTCTCCCACTTACTGAGGCTGCCTGTCACTGCAGTCTTGACCAGTTTGTCAATTTGATACTTCAGTTTTTGATCCAAGGGACGAATTTTTTCCAAAACCTGTAACATGGTTAGAAAGGATCACATTCCCTTCCCAAAGTTAAGCACATAGCAGAGTCCCTATATTAAGTTGCCAGATAAAGCACTTAATTAGCATATGCACAAAGTTAGAACCAAAGAAGAGAAAAATACTATCTTTCATTTGGTTTTCTCACTTAAATATGAGAACATTCACTTAAATGAGAGCTATTGTGTGATAGTCCTGGAGTTCAGGATTTGGAAACTTAGGACTCTAAGATGCCAAATGCTTCATACCGTGCGAATCTCCACCAGTCTCAAAACTGCCGCATGTCCCTGAAGAGACCCTCCTGAGGCTTTGTCCAGGATGAGATGGCTCAAATCCATAAGGTACATGAGCAGCAACTGGTCTTTCACTTCCAAGAGGCTGAGACCCTGAGTTAAACAAAACAATAAGAGGTGCAAATTCTGTTTTAGCCAGAGAATCAGGAAAGCCTAGGACAAACAGGATAATCTTTTCCAAGTTCAAGTTTTTCCCAATCAATTAATGTAAGATATCTGGAGTAATCTCAAGGGGGGTGGCTGTACCTGAAATAGCCACAGAGAAAATTATGCTAACAAGAGAAAAGCAAAGCTCAGAGCACTTTTGAAACACAGTAAGAGCAAGAAAATCAATAAGATATCTCCAAAATAACTACAGCAGGATTTCTCAACCTCAGAGCTATTAACATTTAGGGAGATCATTTGTGGACTGCTGTCTAGGTGCTGGAGAATGCTCAGCAGCATCACTGGCCTCTACTCACTGATATCCTCTCAAGTTGTGACAATAAAAAATGCCTCCAGCCCAGCCAGTGTGGCTCAGTGGTTAAGCATTGACTCATGAACCATGAGGTCATGGTTCCATTCCTGGTGAGGGCACATACCCAGGTTTCAGGCTCAATCCCCAGTGGAGGGTGTGCAGGAAACAGCCAATCAATGATTCTCTCTCCTCATTAAGGTTTCTATCTCTCTCTTCCCTCACCCCTTCCTCTATGAAATAAATAAAAACACATTTTTTAAAAAAGCCTCCATAATGCTGAATTCTAAACTAATTTAATCAAAAACAATTACTGATTCTATCCCCATACAATGGAATTATACAATATAGGTAAAAACAATGATCTATACATACTGACATAATTCCTTTCATACTTAGTTTCATATCACAACACTTTCTACACTCTGTAGAAAATGTTTGTAATATGGTTCCAACTAAAATGGGGGGAGTATGATGCACACATTTTATATGTATAAAAATATGTCTGGAAAATAACACATAATTAACAACTGCCATCCCTGGAGAACAAAATGAGAAAAAGGAAGAAATGGAGTGCTTGTACTGTGAAACTGTTTTTTCATCAAGCATGCATTACTTTTATAATAAAAGAAATTTCCAAAAAAATGTACCCTAGTGGTTATCTTAGAACAGTGATTATATAAAACTTTTAATTTTCTTCTTTGTGTTTTTACGTATCTGCCAAACCTTCTAAAATTAAAAGTTTATTATATTTACAGGCAGAAAATTGAACAAATATTATATGTTTATTCTTTTAAGTAAAAGAAAGTACAATGTGTGAGCACTGACTTAAGCTATAGTTATTTTTTATTTTTTGTTATTTTTTTTTTAAATATATTTTATGGATTTTTTACAGAGAGGAAGGGAGAGGGATAGAGAGTTAGAAACATCGATGAGAGAGAAACATCAATCAGCTGCCTCCTGCACAAGCCCCACTGGGGATATGCCCGCAACCAAGGTACATGCCCTTGACCGGAATCGAACCTGGGACCCTTCAGTCCGCAGGCCGACACTCTATTCACTGAGCCAAACCGGTTAGGGCTATATTTTTTAAAAAGGAGTCACTGTTGTATAAAATAAAACTGAGAAAGTCCATAGTCCTAGGAAGACCCATATCAATCTTTTGTATTTCTGTGGGGTCTGTTGTTATCTCGCCTCTTTCATTTCTGATTCTGTTTATTTGGGTCCTCTCTCTTTGCTTCTTGGTGACCTAGCTAGAGGTCCATCAATCTTGTTTATCCTTCAAAGAACCAGCTCTTGGTTTCTTGATCTTTTGTATAGTTTTTTTGGTCTCTATTTCATTTATTTCTGCTCTGATCTTTATTTTATTTTTTTTAAGATATTTTTATTGATTTCAGAGAGGAAAGGAGAAGGAGAGATAGAAACATCAATGATGAGAGAGAATCATTGATCGGCTGCCTCCTGCACGCTCCCTACTGGGGATCGAGCCTGCAACCTGGGCATGTGCCCTTGACCAGAATTAAACTTGGGACCCCTCAGTCCGCAGGCCAACGCTCTATCCACTGAGCCAAACCAGATAGGGCTCTGATCTTTATTATCTCCTTCCTGGGCTTTTCTTGTTGCTCTCTTTCTAATTCTTTAAGTTGTAGAGTTAGATAATTTATTACCAGTTTTTCTTAGGTTTTTTGAGGGAGGCTTGTAATGCTATGAACTTCCCTCTCAGGACTGCTTTCACCGTGTCCCATAGGTTTTGGATTGTTGTGTTTTCATTGTCATTCGTTCTAGGAAGACCTATATCAAAAAGGTTAAATACTCTGCCTAAGATTACACAGTAATAGGAATAAAACTGGGATTCAAACTCAGTCTGAGTCTAACAAGATAAGCTCTTAAGATAAGCAAAGGATTTAAAGGCAGGCAAACTGAGTTTAACTTTTGAATTAGGTATTCAGTAATCAAATATTGAGTAAGTCACTTAACCTTCTAACATCAGTCCCCTCATCTGTAATATGAACACTATTTCCTTCCTGTGTCAAAGAGCAATTATGAGGTGCAAATAATATAACATGAAAACACTTTGTAACCCTGTAAAACACCTAGTAAAAGTCTTTGGTGATAAGCTAGTAAATATCTGCTCAGTGAATAAACAAATATATAGTGATCTAAGATACATGCTGGTAGCCCATCTCAAAAAGGCATTAAACTGAAGCAAAGCATGGTACCCAGAATAAAGACAGCCAAGAGTTTGAGAAGTAGGCTCTTCTGACATGCATAGGCACTGCCAAGTGCAAAATGAGTTACAAGCATGAGAAACACAAAGGAAAAAAAAGCAAAGATAAAAAAATAAGCAGAAAGTATAAAAATAGACAAGAACAAAATTTGATGAGAAAGAAAAGACAAAGAGAATATATTAAAAATGCTCTTATGCCTGGCTGGTGTCTCAGTGGTTGAGCCTTCAGCGGTGAACCAGGAGGTCATGGTTTGATTCCTGCTCAGGGAATATGCCCAGGTTGTGGGCTCAGTCCCCAGTAGGGGGCGTGCAGGAGGCAGCAAATCAATGATTCTCATCATTGATGTTTCTCTTTCTCCCTCTCCCTTTCTCTCTGAAATCAATTACAAAAAATTATTTTTTAAAATGCTGTTAGCTATCTTTCTAAAGAACAAAACTGCTTTCCAAAGAATAAATCCCGTGATTAAAAATCCATCAATGCTTTTCATACTTTTGTTAACCTATGGTATCTTAAATAATATCTCGGCAAAAAAGTTCAATATATAAAACAGATGACACCAGATTTTCCAGTTTAATTAAGTAGAGGAATCCAGAACCCTCTGTTTATACTGGCCATACTCAATAATCCCTGATATAAGATGTTAATTTATAAACCACCATCTTTCAATTTTAAGATGCACATTGTTTTCATATTTTGACATCTCTGAAGTCAAGATGCATCTTTTAATCAACAGTATTTTAGTACATGTCACAGATTAACAGGTAGCATTTTTTCTTAATATATATAAAATGAGTGATGTTCTCCATTAACAGCATCTTGGATTAGAAGAAACACAATAGTTAACGCCTCAGTTGGCAAGACTTCTCACAATCACTACTTTTCCAGTCTTTTTTCCTACCCCTAACACACACACACACACACACACACACACACACTAAAGGACTTAGCTCCTTTCCCAGAATATCACCATGCTTTCAGGACTTCGTGCCTTTACACATCTGCTTCTTTCTGTACTTCTGACTCCTATTTATTCCTCACAATCCTGTTACCTTCTCTGATAAGTCTTTCCTGTCTTCCTCTGCTCCTCTGGCAATTATTTAATCTTTCTCCTCAGCTTGCACAGCACTCGTCATGACTCTACAACATGGCTGCTACCGCTTATACCTATTACTTTGATCTGTATCACTCACTAGACTTCAGCACAGAAACTGGGCTTTATTCGTCTTTAAAGCTCCAGCACTTAGTATACAAAGACATTCAATAAACCTATCGTGAAAGAACTGTTGAGAACATCAACTCGGGATGCTTACTCTTCAAGTATGTCTTACCTTCTCTGTTGGATAGGTTCTAGCTTGAACTTTTTTCGTCAGAGCTTGAATTTGTGCAGTTACAGCCATTACCTGAAATTAGTCAAAATAAAACAGCTGACTAGAATACATCAAGTGATCTCCATAAGCTGTAAAGGGCATAAGCTAAACAATGCCACCTAAAAGTTATCTTAAACACTGTTCAACGTACAGTATTTTCTTTTCAGTTCTGGAAAAGAATAACAAGAGATGGTTTCTGATACTTCTTCAAAAGGTAGAAAAAACTTTTCACCTCTTCTTAAAGCTAAAGAAATCACCTTACCAAAGCATGGGGAAGCCATGGGGACCATACCTTTATCCGTACCTGTTGAACTTACAATGCATAGCACTACATAAATGTGTATTAGCTGGGCACCCAAAAGGCAAGTCGCATCACCTTTCCCAGCATCAGTTTCCTTAACTATAAGAAGAAAGGAAACTGATTCAGATAGTTTTTTTCTTAAGTTTTCTGTATTCCTTTAGATGTAGAAGTCAATTACTTTTCATTGTAGCCTGAAAAGGTCATCAAATCATTGCTTTTATGGCATTTGGTAGCATTCAAATATATGCTCCCAAATCAACAGTTTGGAGGTGAACAGCACACGAAGTCAAAGTCAATCCCTGATTAATCTATTCCAAAAGGGTGATATTACTCACCTGCTCCTGGAGGTTTTTCAAAAGTGCCACCGCTCTCGGCAGGTCTGACTCCAGCACCTCCTATAGGGAGAATAAAGAAAAGCCATTCTTCCCTCAGGATTCTGAGGTGGAAAAGCCCCCACTTTCCTTCGGACACCCGAGACTTCCGGCCTTCCCACTCCTGTTCACAACTTGCCTTCTAGCGGGCCAGCCCCTCAGAGGTTACTGGTGAGGAGCGGTAATTCCAGCCCGTTTCCCCACGCTGTGCCAGGGAGGTTGCCTCCCTGAAGCCACGTTCATCACCACCCTTCCCTCGCGCCAATAATTTGCCTGAATCACTTAAGGTAAAGGCAGCATCCACGATAGCAACCTGAGAAAGAGAAAGAGAACACACCGTAGGCACCGGCGCCGCCATTGTCGCAAAGCCCGCCCCTTCCGGAGTCGTACTTCCTGGTTGATAGACTGATGGACAACCACCGCTTGCAAATCTAAGCCAATAGGAATAGAGATTCTCTCACTTCCGCCTCGAACAGGATGTACTAGGGGAGGGACTGGGGCCAGCCAATGGAATAGAAGAACTGGTTAAATCCGTCAGATTTGGAAGGGAGCTAATGACGTAAAGATGTTCTCGAACGAAACATGTGATTAGTAAATTGAGTAGAATGATCGAAGTTAAACCAATAAAAACTGGGCAAATGATTGATTGGCAGTTATAGAGGCCCAATGGAAGAAAGGAGTTAGCAGAGCTAACTGAGAGCGTATTGGCTCCGGGATGCCGCAGTACCCGGAGTCTTCAGGACGCTTCCCTTGCGGGGCCTGAGCCGGCCTCTAGGTGGCGCGCCTCCGTTTGTCGCCGAGGAGGTGGCCACGTTGTGCAGCTGCCACCGCCTGCTGCTGCTCCCACGCAGGTCGTGCCGAATTGCTCACAAACCCCAAGGCCCTTGGATGGGGTTTGTGGCCGTCCTTCTGTGTAACCACGGAACTTTGTTTATCTGTAAATAAGACAGTTGGGCGAGAGAACCGGAGCCAGGGTTTAGACATGGACAACCAGGACACTCGCCCTCTTCGTGCGCGTCTGAGGGCGCTACGGAAAGACACCCCCCACCCCCACCCCCAGATGCCGCCCCAACACTCCTCATAACTACCAGTTTGAAGACATGAAAGGGAGTACGTTTTACAAATAACGAAGCCGGTTCAGATTTAGGTGACTTGCCCCTGGTCACACAGGTCCCCAGCAGAACTTGGTTCAAACCCAGCCTATGCATATTGCATTATGTCCTACCTCAGATTTTCTCAGCACTCTCAACCGGGTCGGTTCACTCCTGCTTCTCGCAGGTAAAGTAGGTTGGATGGTAGGAGTCGTTCTCTTCGTCTGCCTTAGGAAAGAAGCACCGCGAGAGCAAATGAAGGTCTTGAATTTGCCCCGCAACTGCGGAGCGGACTTAGGACTAGAAATCGGGTCTGACTTGGAGCTGCCTCTGGAATTAAGGAAGGACTAACCTCTGTATCTCAGCAGCCAGGGTGAGGTAGTCCTGGTTTCTAAATCATCTGTGGACTCAAGAAGAAGAAAGCAGCCTTGACCGGTTTGGCTCAGTGGATAGAGCGTCGGCCTGCGGACTGAAGGATCCCAGGTTCGATTCCCATCAGGGGCATGTACCTTGGTTGTGAGCACGTCCCCAGTAGGGGCTGTACAGGAGGAAGCTGATCGATGTTTCTCTCTCATCAATGTTTCTAGCTCTCTATTCTTCTCCCTTCCTCTCGGTAAAAAATGAATAAAACATATTTTTTTAAAAAGAAAAAAGAAGGCAAGGGGAATCCAGTCTCCATGCCTTATTTCTAACAATTACTTGCTGCTTCAGGCCCAGCATGCAAGCTCAGGGTACTTCAACAGCCTACTCAGTCAATGAACCAACAGTTTTCGTACCATTTGTCAGGATTTGTATTAGGAAAAGTTTCCATTTCAACAAATTCACAAGTTAGGTCACAAATAAGCTTTTCCTTTCCTTGGAACTTGAAATTTAGTTTTGTTCTTATGCGTTATATCAATGACAAATTTACACTGCCTTGTTTTGTTTTTGATTATTAAATATTTATCAGCCATTTCGTTACAAGAAAATCTTGGAGTTAGCAGTACAGTAAATCTTTATAAAACTCTTCTAGGACTCAGCAAGTGTTGGCAAAGAAGACAAGATCATAAACTGGCAATCATAACATTTGCACATACATACTGAGTAAATTTAACAGCTTTATTGAGATTTAATACATATAAAATGCACCCATTTAAAGCATAAAATTCAATACATTTTAGTATATTCACTGAGTTGTGAAATATCACAATTTTAGAACAGTTTTATCACGCCCTAAAGGAATGTGCCCAATAGCAGTCACCCTTTTTTTTCTCACCTCCAGTCCTAGGCAACCACTAATCTTTGCCTATTCTGGGCATTTCATAAAAATGGAATCATACAATAGATGGTCTTTTGTGACTGGCACTTTCACCTAGCATAATGTTTTCAAAGTTCATCTATGCTGTAGCATGTATCGTAACTTTATACCTTTTTGTTGCTGAATATTTCATTGCATGGATTATGCCACATTTTTTTTTGTATTCATAAGTTGATGGGCATTTGAGTTGTTTCCACTTATTGGCTGTTGTGAATAGTTGTATGAACATTTGTATACAAGCTTTTATGGAGAAGTATGTTTTCATTTCTCTTGAGTATGTACCTAGGAATGGAGTTGCTGGGTCATATAGTAACTCTGCTTAACCATTTGAGGAACTTGTAGACTGTTTTCCAAAGAGGATGAACCATTCTACATTCCCACCAGCAATGAATGAGGCTTCCAGTTTCTCCATAGCCTTGCCAACACGTGCTTTAATCTGTCTTCTTATTGTAGCCCCGCCCCCGCTAGTGAGTATGAATTAGTATCTCATTGTGATATTGATTTGCATTTCCCTAATGGCTAGTGATATTAAGCATCTTTTGATGTGCTTATGGGCCATTTGTATATCTTCTTTGAAGAAATGTCTATTCTGATCATTTGTCCATTTTTAATTGGGTTATTTGTCTTTTTATTATTGGTTGTAAGAATTCTTTTTATATTCTGGATACACGTCCCTTATCAAATATATGATTTCCAAATATTTTCTCCCATTCTGTGGGTTGTCTTTTAACTTGCTTGATGTGTATCATTTGAAGCACAACATTTTTAATTTTGATGAAGTCCAACTTATCTAATTTTTCTTTGGTTGCTTGTGCTTTAGGTGTATTATCTAAGAAGCCATTGCTTTATATAAGGTTATGAAGATTTGTGCTTATGTTTTATACTAAGAGTTTAACTTTTACATTTAGATATTTGATCCATTGAGTTAATTTTTGTGTACGGTGTGATATAGGGCTCCACCTTCATTATTTTTCATTGTAATATCCAGTTGTCCCTGCACCATTTGTTGAAAAACTATTACTTCCCCATTGAATTATCTTGTATGCTTTTTGAAAATTAATTGACCATAAATGTACAGGTTTATTCCTGGACTCTTAATTATATTTCATTGGTCTATCTTTATGTCTGTCCTTATACCAGTACTATACTATGTTACCTTTGTAATAAGTTTTGAAATTGGGAAGTGTGAGTCCTTCAAGATTATTTGACTATTCTAGGTCCCTTGCATTTTTATATGAACTTTAGGATCAGTTTGTAAATTTTTGCAAAAAAAGCTAATTGGACTTTGGATAGGGATTGCGTTGAATCTGTAGATCAATTTGGAGACTGTTGCCATGTTAACAATATTAAGCCTTCTGATCCATGAGTATGAAATGTCTTTCTATTTGTTTAGGTCTTTAAAATGTTCTTTTAATAATCTATATATACAAAAGCCTAAGCGACCGAACAACTGAATGACCAGTTGCAATGATGCACACTGACCACCAGGGGACAGATGCTCAACACAGGAGCTGCCCCCTGGTGGTCAGTGCTCTCCCACAGCCAACCTCCCTCGACCCCCCTCTCCCCCCCTCCACGCTAGCCGGCCCTGATGGCCTTGATCAGGGCAGGGCAGCTGGCCAACTTCCTGGGGCCCCTCCCCTGGGCCTGCTTGCCCTTATCGGCCCCGATCGCCAGCCAGGCCAAGGGACCCCACTAGTGCATTTATTTGTGCACTGGGCCTCTAGTCTATATATAAAAAGCCAGTGACTGGAACGCCATGATGACCAGAACGACCGTTAGCTATGATGCTCACTGCGGTCAGTGAACCGGTCTGATCAGGGGGTGGGGCCACCGGACAACCTCCCGTGACCCCTCCCCCCAGCCGCCCCACTCCTGATCAGCCTCTCCCACCCCGATCAGTGGGTGGGGCTGCCGGCCAACCCCCTGCAGCCCCTCCTCCCGGCCAGCCCCACCCCTGATGGGCCCCCACCACCCAGGTCAACCGGCAGCCCCTCCTCCTGGCTAACTTTGCCCCTGATTGCTACCCCCTACCCCAATAGGGAGCGGGGCCAGCCAGCCAACCTCCTGTAGCCCCTTCCCCCACCTGGCCCCACCCCAGATCAGTCCCCCACCCTGATCAGAGGCAGGGCCAGCCAGCCAACCACTGATGGCCCCTCCCCCAGGCTGCTGGCCCCCAATAGGCCCCCCACCCCAATTGGGGGCGGGGCCTGCCAGCCAATTGCCCATGGCCCCTCACCAGCCAGCCCAGCCCTGATTGGCCTGATCGGGGCGGGCCAGCTGGCCAACTTCCCACTATCTCCTCCTCCCGACAGGCCTGGCCACGATCTGCCCCGACTGGGGCCAGGCCATCTGGACCCCACCTGCGCACAAATTCATGCACTGGACCTCTAGTATTTTATAGTTTTCAGAGAGTAAATTTTGTACTTCTTTTGTTAAATTCATTCTTGAGTTATTTTTTTTTTATGCTGTATTGATTTCCAATTACTGCTTTTACAAATTACTACAAGCTTGGTAACTTAAAACAACAGACATTTATTCTCTCGCTGTTCAGAAGACCAGAAGTCTGAAATTACTTTCACTGGTCTGAAATCAAGGTGTTGTCAAGGCCATGCTCCCTCTGGAGGCCCAAGGGGATAATCCATTTTCTTCCTCTTCCGAGCTGGCAGCTCCAATATCTGCCTCCTCCGTCACATTGCTTCCTCTTTTCTGTGAGTCAAATCTTCTTTCTCTGCATCTGTCTTATAACTTTTTATTTATTTTGTTTGTTTGTTTGTTTTTTTAATCCTCACCCAAGGATATTTTCCCATTGATTTTTAGAGAGTGGAAGGGAGAGGGAAAGACAGAAATATTGATGTGAGAGAAACACATCAATTGGTTGCCTCCTGCACTCACCCTGACCAGGGCCTGGGCCAGGGAGGAGCCTGCAATCAAAGTACATGCCCTTGACAGGAATCAAACCTGGGACCCATCATCTGCAGGCCGACA